TGAGAGCTTTCCCCCTGAGATCAGGAACACGACAGGGATGTCCACTCTCACCACTGTTGTTTAACATAGTGCTGGAAGTCCTAGCATCAGCCATCAGACACCAAAAGGAAATCAAAGGCATCAGAATTGGCAAAGAGGAAGTCAAACTTTCACTCTTCGCAGATGACATGATACTCTACATAGAAAACCCGACAGACTCCACCAGAAGCCTACTAGAACTGATCCAAGAATTCAGCCAAGTTGCAGGGTACAAAATCAACGTACAGAAATCGGTTGCATTTTTATACACCAATAATGAAGCAACAGAAAGAGAAATCAAGAAACTGATCCCATTCACAGTTGCACAAAAAACCATAAAATACCTCGGAATAAACCTAACCAAGGATACAAGAGATCTGTATGATGAAAACTATAGAAAACTTATGAAGGAAATTGAAGAAGACACAAAGAAATGGAAAAACATTCCATGCTCATGGATTGGAAGAATAAATGTTGTTAAAATGTCATTACTACCCAAAGCAATCTACACATTCAATGCAATCCCAATCAAAATTACACCAGCATTCTTCTTAAAACTAGAACAAACTATCCTAAAATTTGTATGGAACCACAAAAGACCTCAAATAGCCAAAGTAATATTGAAGAAGAAAGCCAAAACGGGAGGCATCACGATCCCAGACTGACTGAGCCACCCAGGCATCCCTTAAATTTATTTTTTAATGTTTATTTTTGAGAGAGAGACAAATTGAAAGTGAGGGAGGGGCAGAGAGAGAAGGAGACCCAGAATCCAAAGCAGGCTCCAGGCTCTGAGTTGTCAGCACAGAGCCCCACGTGGGGCTAGAACCCACGAACCTCCGAACCATGAAATAGTGAGCCGAAGTCAGAATGCTTAACAGAATGAGCCACCCAGGTGCCCCTTATTTTCTGTATTCTTGATGCTCTGCCACCGGTGCCTTGCTCATCCTGGAGAGAATGCCTCTCCCAGTGCTAGTTCATTCCCAGAGGTAGAAAATGACTTCCCCGGAAGCATACCTTTCATACGCAAACCAACCAATCCAGAGCCCATGTCCACCCACTATCACCTTTATTAAGTTCTCACAGGTTGAGCCGCTATCCTCCTGCCCTAATCACCTCAGTGCCAGGTATCAGGTAACTACAGACAATGCCTACATGCAAGAAGCCCTGCTGAAATTACTCAAACCAGCCAATCCTAAGTCTCCCCAGCCTGCTCACTCTGCCTTACCCATTCTTTCCCAGGAAAATAACCATAAAGGCACTTGGCCATGCTTTGCCCTCATGACTTCGGCCTTCTGACTGACCCTGGTGCTTCTCGCTCCGGCGTGTCTCCTCTTCGGAACTGTGAGTTACAAACTATCTTTTCTTTTTTTTTTTTTTTAAGTTTATTTATTTATTTTGAGAGAGACAAAGACAGAGTGAGTGGAAGAGGGGCAGAAAGAGGTAGAGAGAGAGAATCCCAAGCAGGCTCTGAGCTGTCAGTGCATAGTCCAATGTGGGGCTTGAACTCACAAAACCGTGAGATCACGATCTGAGCCGAAACCAAGAGTTGGACGCTTACCTGACTGAGCCACTCAGGCACCCACAAACTATCTTTTCAGTGGCAGTCATCTCTGGACCTGTTGGCCTTACATTACCTGAATAATATTAAAACCTACATTTTTTTAGAGACAGAGAGAGTGAGCACAAGCAGGGGAGGGGCAGAGGGAGAGGGAGAGAGAGAATCTTAGGCAGACTCCACACCCACTGCAGAGCTCTAGACAGGGCTCCATCTCACAATCTTGAGATCATGACCTGTGCTGAAATCAAGAGTCCGATGCTCAACTGACTGAGCCATCTGGGTGCCCCGAAGCCTACATTCTAAAACAGAAAGACATACAGGGGCGCCTGGTTGTCTCAGTTGGTGGAGCATGTGGGTCTTGATCTTGGGGTTGTAGGTTGAGTCCCACATTGGATATAGAGGTTACTTAAAAATAAAATCATAAAAAATAAACAAAACAGAAAGACACTTAGATCAACTGAACAGAATGAAGAGTTCAGAAACAGGTTCACATATAGAAAGTCAACTGATTTTGATAAACATGACTAGGAAATGCAATGGAAAAAAGAAGGTCTCTTCAGTAAATGGTTCTGGAATAAGTGGATATTGTACTGATAAAAATGAACAGTGGTCCTTATGTCAAACATACAAAAGGGATTGGAGACCTAAACTGAAAAAGCTAAAATGCTAAAGCTTATGTAAGACAATATGAGAAAATCTTTGTGACTTTGTGGTTAGGCCAAAAGTACTAGAAAATTTTAAAAGATGGTAATTTAGACTCCATCAAAATCAGAATGTTTGCTCCTTTTTAAAATAATTTTTTAAAGTTTATTTATTCATTTTGAGAGGGACAGAACACGAGCAGGGGAGGGGCAGAAAGAGAGGGAAGGAGAGAGAATTCCAAGCAGCCTCTGCAGGGTTAGTGTAGAGCCCAATGCAGAGCTCAAACTCACGAACGGTGAGATCATGACCTGAGCAGAAACCAAGAGTTGGATGCTTAATTGACTGAGCCACCCATGCATCCCAAACTGTTTGCTTTTTGATGGGTACCAGTAGGAAGATAGAAGCAAAAGCCACAAATTAAAACATAAGGTTGGCAATGGATATATCTGGCATAGGCGTTATATCCACCAAATATAAATAACTCTGAAAACTCATTAAGGAAACAACCCAATTAAAAAAATGGGAAAGATAGTTGAACAGACACTTCAAACAAAAATGTACAAATGGTCACTAAGCACATGAAAAAAATGCTCTGCATTACTCATCAGAGGAATGCAACTTAAAATCGTAATGAGATGCCATTACACGTCCACTATAATAGCAAAAACGAGAGAGATGGATACTTCCAAGTGTTGGTGAGAATGTGGAGCAACTGAAATTCTTGTGTTGCTGCTGGAAGTATAAAATCACTGCCGCTCTGGAAGATAGTTTGGCCATGTCTTATTTTTTTTATTTTAAATTTTTAAAGTTTATTTATTTTGAGAGAGAGAGAGACAGAGAGAGAGCAAGAGCAAGTGCAGGTGGAGAGAGAGGGAGAGAGAGAATCCCATGCCGGCTCTTTACCATCAGCACAGAGCCCAACGCGGGGCTTGAACACCCAAACCGTGAAATCATGACCTGAGCCGAAATCAAGAGTCAGATGCTTAAACGAATGAGCCACCCAGGTGCCCCTGGCCATGTCTCATAAAGGCAAGGATATTCTTACACAATTATATGACCCACCAACTCTACTCCTAGGTATTTATCCAAGAGAAATGTGAACATATGTTCACACAAAGACATACCAGAATGTTCACTACAGCTTTATTCACAGTAACCAAATAACAACGACCTGTCATCAACAGGTATACAGATAAACAAATGGCAATCCTTTCATATTGGGGAATAGTATTCAGCATTTAAAAGGGATGAACTAGGGGCACCTGGGTGGCTCAGTTGGTTAAGTGTTGACTTAAGTGATCTCACGGTTCACGAGTTCAAGCCCCGCATCGGGCTCTGTGCTGACAGCTCAGAGCCTGGAGCCTGCTTTGGATTCTGTGTCTCCTTCTGCCTTTGCTCCTCACCTGCTTGCACTCTGTCTCTGTCTCTCTGTCTCAAAAATAAATAAACATTAAAAAAATAAAAGGAATAAACTACTTACATACTCAATAACACGGATGAATCACAAAATCAGTACGTCAAACAAATGAAGTCAGACCCAAAAGGGTATAGACAGTATGATTCTACTCATATGAAACCCTAATAAAGACAAATCTAATCTCTAGTGACAGAAAGCATGTCAATGGCTGCCTGGGGCCGAAGGGGTGGTGCACACTGACTACAAGGGACATGAAGGCTCATTTTTGTGAGATGGGATGTTATGTATCATGATTGGGGTGGTGGTGATACTGGTGTGTACTTTCTTCAAACTGTGTACTTGAAATGGATACATTTGATTGTATGTAAATTATACCTTAATACAGTCGATTTATTTAAAAGAAAAAATGCTAAGTGACGGTGATCCTAAGGTCAGAAGATGCGAGAGAGGCATGGCGACAGGGGAGGTGGAGAGGAGTGCGGAATTTGAAAGCAATACCTACAAACAGAAGAGGAGGTGAGGCTGGTTGTAGATGACAGTTTACTGGTATCTTAGAGGTGAGAAGATAAAACTGAGGAGGAAGAAGGCGAAAGGGTACTAGGAAGAAGAGGAGTGAGGCAACCAGCTGGTTTACAAAGAAGGCAAACCCATTAGAACCTGAAAGTACAGGGGCACCTGGGTGGCTCCAGCTGGTTGAGCATCCGACTCCGGCTCAGGTCATGATCTTGCAGTTCGTGGGTTCGAGCCTCGCTTCAGGCTCTGTGCTGACAGCTCAGAGCCTGGAGCCTGCTTCAGATTCTGTGTCTTCCCCTCTCTCTGCACTTCCCCTACTTTCACTCTCCTTCTCTCTTTCTCAAAAATAAATAAACATTAAAAAATTTTTAAAAAAAGAACCTGAAAGTATATGATAAGAATCTAAGATGCTGGGGGTGGGGTTTAAGTAATGAAGCATAAAAGTGAGTAATGAAGCATAAAAATGTGATGGAAGGAGAGAACATACAAAAAAAGCAAGATCTATAGGGAGGAAGCCTGGCATTTGATCCAGAGTGTGGGACTTGTAGCAATTCTCCTGGATGAAAGTGGGGCCAAAAAGAGAGTTGAGAACAGTCAGGGAAATAAAGGGAGAGAGCAGTCTGGTACCTAAGAGGCCAATGTTATCTCTTCTTAAGCAGCTTCCAAAGTTTAGAACCTTTAAGAAAGAGCAATAATAGCATTTTTTTTTTTACAAATAGTTTATTGTCAAATTAGTTTCCACATAACACCCAGTGCTCATCCCCACGAGTGCCCTCCTCCATTTTAAAGGCACCAGCCTCTTAGGAAAAGGAAAGTGTTTCCGTGCCCCAAATCTGCCCGGGTTGCACTCACCTGAAAAGCTCTGATGTGGGGGTTTTCTCTCCAAAATCCATGGTTCCTCTCCTTGCTCCAACTTGAAGATGACCTCTGGCTTGGGAACTTCATACCCTGTTAACAGGACATGATAGAATTGGGTCCAGCTAATTGCTTTCCACTTGTTCTTTGAAAAAGTAATCCCACTTCACTGGGAAAAGAGCAATAATCACAGAGGTTAATGGACTGAAGCATCTCAGACCAATCAAGGATGCCACCAGCACACACATCAGATGTCAGAGTTCTCAGCAGCTGAGAATGGACATACTCTCATGGAGGCTCTGTGTTCGTTTCCTAGGGCTGCTCTCACAAAGTACCAAAAACTGGGTGGCTTAAAACAGCAGAACCTCATTGTCTCACACTTCTGGAGGCTCAAGTCTGAAATCAAAGTGTTTAGCGGGGCCAGGCCCTCCCTGGCAGATGTAAGGGAGAATCCTTCCTTGAATCTTCTACTTTGCTCTTTGCCAGTAACGATGTTCCATTCTTTGATGTTCTTAAGCTTGTAAATGAATCACTTCGGTCACATGGCTGTCTTTTCTCTGTGTGCCTTTACATTGTCTTCCCTCTATGTGGGTCTATTTCTATGCCCAAATTTCCCTTTTTTATAAGGACACCAGTCACATTAAATATATATATATATATATATATATTTTTTTTACAAATAGTTTATTGTCAAGTTGGTTTCCATATAACACCCAGTGCTCATCCCCACAAGTGCCCCCCTCTGTGCCCATTCCCCCCATCCATCAGTCCTCAGTTTTTGTCAGCATTCAAGAGTCTCTCATGGTTTGCCTCTCCCCCTTGCTCCCACCATTTCCCCCCTTTTTCTCCCCCATGGTCCTCCGTTAAGTTCCTTCTAATCCTCCTATACGTGCAAACATATGATATTTGTCCTTCTCTGCCTGACTTATTTCGGTCAGCATAACACCCTCAAGGTCCATCCATGTTGCTACACATGGCCAGATTTCATTCTTTCTCATTGCCATGTAGGATTCCATCATATAGATAAACCACATCTTCTTGATCCATTCATCCGTTGGTGGACCCTTAGGCTCTTTCCATGTTTTGGCTACTGTTGAGAGTGCTGCTATGAACATTGGGGTACATGTGCTCCTATGTATCAGCATTTCTATATCCCTTGGGTAAATTCCTAGCAGTGCTATTGCTGGGTCCTAGGGGAGTTGTATTGTTAATTTTTTGAGGAACCTCCACACTGTTTTCCAGAGGGGCTGTACCAGTTTACATTCCCACCCACAGTGTAGGAGGGTGCCCGTTTCTCCATATCCTTGCCAGCATCTAGAGTCCACTCTCACTGAGATACCACCTCACGCCAGTCAAAGTGGCTAAAAATATTTTTTAATGTTTATTTTTGAGAGAGAGAAAGAGAGAGAGGAGAGAGAGACATAGTGCGAGTTGGGGAGGGGCAGAGAGAGAGGGAGACACAGAATTTGAAACAGGCTTCAGGCTCAGAGTTGTCAGCACAGAACCCGACATGGGGCTCGAACCCACAAACCTTGAGATCATGACCTGGGCCGAAGTCGGATGCTCAACCTACTGAGCCATCCAGGTGCCCCAGGAAACCAGTCATATTAGATTAGGTCCACCCCAATGAACTCATTTTAACTTGATTTCTTCAGGGGTGCTTGGGTGGCTCAGTCGGTTAAGCAACTGACTCTTGATTTCGCCTCAGGTCACGATTTCACAGTCGTGAGATCTGTCAGTGCAGAGCCTGCTTGGGATTCTTTCTGTCCCTCCCCTCTCTCACGTTTTCTGTCTCTCATAACAAATAAACATTAAAAAAATTAACTTGATTACCTCTATAAAGATGCTATTTCCAAATAAGGTCACATTCTGGGGTCCTGGGGGTTCAGACTTCTGCATATCTTTTTTTTCAGGGGACACACCATTCAAGCCATAAAAATCTGCCCTCTGACTCCCCCGCTGCAAATTCATATCCTTCTCACATGCAAAATATATTAACCCCATCCCAATATCCCCCAAAGTCTTAATCATTCCAGCATCAAGTCTTAAGTTCAAAATCTATCTAAATATCAACTTGAAGTCTCAAATCTTATTATCTAAAATCACCCAAATTGGTTATGGATGAGATGGGAGTGTGCATTACCTTGGGGGCAGTTTCTCTCCATGCAAATCTGTGAAAGCAGATGAGTTAATCTGCTTCCAAAATACAGTGGCAGGACAGGCATAGGATAGACATTCCCATTTCAAAAGGGAGAAACTGGAATGAAAAAAGGGATCACAGGCCCCAACAAAGTTCAAAGCCTTCCAGCCCTCTGTTAAACAGCAGTGGTGAGAGTGCACATCCCTGTCGTGTTCCTGATCTCAGGGTGAAAGCTCTCAGTTTTTCCCCTTTGAGGGTGATGTTAGCTGAGGACTTCTCATAGATGGGTGGGGGGGGGGAAGGGGGGAGATGGGCATGGAGGGGGGCACTTGTGGGGATGAGCACTGGGTGTTATATGGAAACCAACTTGACAATAAACTATTTGTAAAAAAAAAAAAAAAAAAAAAAAAATCCAAAGCCTAACAAGGCAAATTCCACTAGATTTTAAGGCTTGAGAGTAATTCTTATTGGCTCAGTGTTCTGTCCTCCAAGCCTACAAGGGTGGTGGCCCCACTCTGTTGGCCCCAGGCCAGGAGTGGCACCATTCATTATTACCTCTCCTGGGCCATTAGCAAAATATTTGCTTCCTGTTCCTGTGACCTTAAGCTCTGCTATTCCAAAGGGAGGGATATGTCCACTGGGAGTCACATTAGTGATTCCACTGAACTGGAAGACCTATCTGCTACCTGAATGTTTTGGGTTCTTCACATCTGAATCAAAAGGCAAAGAAGGGAATTACTATGCTGGCTGGGGTGACTGATCTTGACTACTCAGGGGAACTGGAAACGAGGAAGAAGCGTGTCTTGAATACAGGAAATCCCTTGGGGGGCTCTCTTAATACTACTGCGTCCTGTGATTAAGGTCAATGGAAACTACAAGGATTCAATTCAGGCAGATCCTTCCGGAATGAGAATCTGAAGGAGGCTCCAGGCTCCAAGCTGTCAGCATAGAGCCCGATGGGTGGGGCTTGAACCTTGAACTGTGAGATCATGACCTGAGTCAAAGTTGGATGCCTAATTGACTGAGCCCCGCAGGACCCCCAGCAATCTATTAAAATTCTTACTTGATCTGTATAAAGAGAAGAGTTCTAGGTCAAGTGAACAGAAGTCTAACTCGAAACATAAAAACAGAGAGTCTCAGCTCCTCAGTCAATTTTCTGACTTGAGCTAGTTTAGGAATGAAGGGGAGAGCAGGTCCCTGAGGAAGGACCCTCACTATACTGTCAAAACTTGTACTACTAATCTTTCTCCCAGTCTTCTATAAAGGGATTTACAGCCCCCTTGTCAGGGTGACTGTGCATTGAGGGGAAGGACATAGTGAGGCTTTTGAGAGATCACTGGACATGAGTTCTAAACGGACACTAATTCCAGGACTGCCAGGATGTCACTGTGGCCCACCTGACAGCATAGGGGCTTATGAGAGTGAAGTGGTCAACTGAGTTTCAGCCCAGCTCCATCTCACAGAGGGGCCCATCAGGCCCCCAAACCCATCCTGTGGTATCTCCCTGGTTCAGGAATGCAAAATTAGAATACGGATACTCAGCAACTGGCAGAATCCCCATATTGGTTCCCTGACCTGTGCAGTGAGGACTGTTACAGTGAGAAAGGCCAAGTGGAAGCCATTAGAACTGCCTCTACTAAGAAAATAGTAAACCAAAGAAATACTTCATTCCTGTAAGAATTGTAGAGATTAGGGCCACCATCAAGAACCTGAAGGATGCCGGGGTGGTGAGTTCCACCACATCTCTATTCAACTCGCCTATTTGGCCTGTGAAGAGGACAAACAGATCTTGGAGAATGACAGTGGATCATCATAAGCTTAACCAGGTGGGAACTCCAATAGCAGCTGCTGTACCAGATGCGGGTTCACTGCTGAAGCAAATGAATACATCCCTTGGCACCTGGTATGTAGCTATTGATCTGGCCAGTGTGTGGGTTGGGTTTTTGTTTTGTCTTGCTTTGTTTTTGCAATACCTGTTAGTAAAGACAACTAGAAACAGTTTGCTTTCAGTTGTTAAGACCAACTAGATATATACATGTTTACTGTCCTACCTCAGAAGTATATCAGCCTTTCATTCCTATGTCATAATTTAGTCTGCAGGGATCTTTTTATTTAAGTTTATTTATTTATTTTGAGAGAGAGAACAAGTGAGTGCGGGGATTGGGGGGGAGAGCAGAGAGAGACAGGGATAGAGAGAGAATCCCAAGCAGGCTCGGTACTGCCAGCATGGAGCCTGATGATTGGCTCAAACTGCAGAACTGCGAGATTATGATCTGAGCTGAAACTAAGAGTCTGACGCTTAACTGACTGAGCCACCCAGGCGCCCCAGTCTGCAGGGATCTTGACTGACTTTCCCTTCCACAAGATATCACATTGGTCCCATTGAACTGATGACATTCTGCTGACTGGACCTTATGAACGAGAAGTAGTAACGACTCTTGACTTGCTGGTAAGATATCTGTATGTCAGAGGGTAGGAAATAAATCTGACACAAATTTAGGGGCCATCTACCTCAGGGAAATTTCCATTCCGCTGGACCCCTAGAAATGTCCAGGTGAAGAATAAGTTTTTTGCATCTGGCTCTTCCTATAAGTCAAAGAGGGATAATGCCTACTGGGCCTCTACAGACTTCAGAGGCAATATAGTCCTCATCTGGGTGTGCTATTCTGGCCCACTTACCATGTGATCCAAAAATCTGCTAGTTTTGAGAGGAGCCCAGAATGAAAGAAGGCTCTTTACAGATCCAGACTGCCATACAAGCTGCTCTGCCACTGGGCCATACGATCGGGCAGATCCAGTGGTGTTTGAAATGTCCGTGGCAGACAGGGATGAAGCCTTTGGCAGGCCCTCACAGGAGAACCACAGAGCAAACCTTAGGCTTTTGATGCAAAGCCCTGCCATCCTCTAGGATAACTGCTCTCCCTTGAAGAAAAAGCTTTTGGTTTCCTACTGGGTCTCAATTTACTCACTCAATGAATTTAAACGTATCAGTGAGTGGAAGTAAGGACACTCAACAAGGACTCCTTCGGGGCACCTGGGTGGCTCAGTCGGTTAAGCATCCAGCTTCAGCTCAGGTCATGATCTTGCGGTTCGTGGGTTCGAGCCCCCGGGTTGGGCTCTGTGCTGACAGCTCAGAGCCTGGAGCTGGCTTTGGATTCTGTGCTTCTCTCTCTCTCTCTTTCTCTCTCTCTGTCTCTCTCATTCTCTCTCACAAAAATAAACAAACATTTAAAAGAATTTAAATAAAGAACCAAGGACTCGTTTAGTCATGGGCAGTGAACATGGAAGAGACCAATGCTGAATCCTCACCCAGTGGTGGGACACAAATGTGGCAAGCAGGAGAGACCCACTCCCCACGCACAGGGGGCCCGAGTCCTTCTGATCAAGCCCCAGCCTGTAGATGGTGCAAGGTCAGTAGTAACCCCCAGGGCACGGAGCCTGGGTCTTCCTGGGGTGTGTTGCTTGAGCATGCAGCCCAGGGTGGGTGGCAAACTCCATCTAAGGCTAAATACCGGCACGAGACCGATAGTCAACAAGTACCGTAAGGGAGAGTTGAAAAGAACTTTGATGAAACAATTCAAGAGAGAAGGAAGTTGTCATGAGGTGTGACCTCAGATCAGATGTGGCAACTCCACACCCTTAACCCTGGATGGAGCTCGGCCCCTTTAGACCTGGAACCAAGTAGGTAGTTTGCCCTCTGGAATTGAGGAGGTGATGGTCAGTCACATCCAATTTTCCCAGCCTGTGCCCTCTGGGCCTGTGGTGGCGGCGGCAGCCCTGTTGGCCTCTGATTCATCCCTGGAGTCATTCATCCCTCTTCTTGAAGGATAACGTGTGTACACAGCCAAATGATTTTACCAGCCTGTATCTCCTATCTGTACAATCCCAGATAGCCTACAGGCTTCCCTCATTTGTTCCTGTCTCTGTCCTCTTTGGTGTTCTTTCCAAAGTCCATTTCATTTTCTGTGATATGAATAGGCTGAGCATTTTCCAAATCTTCAAGTTCGGCTTCTTTTTTACTAACAATTCTTTTCCAATGTCTTTCTTTCCTCCTACATTTTACTATAAGCAGCAAGAAAAGCACTGGCCATGCCTTTTAACATTTTACTTAGAAATTTATTCAGCTAGGGGGGCCTGGGTGGTTGAGTCAGTTAAGCGTCTGACTCTTGATTTTGGCTCAGGTCGTGATGTCATGCTTCAGGGGGATTCAGCCCCGCATCAGGCTCTGCACTGACAATGCAGAGCCTGCTGGGAGTCTTCCTCTTCCTCTCTCTCTCCCCCGCTAGCACATGCTCTCTCACTCTCAAAATAAATATTTAAAAAAAGAAATTTCCTCAGCTAAAATTCCAAGTTTGTCACTTACAATTTCTGCTTTTCACCCAACAAAACATAATTCAGTCAAGTTCTCTGCCACCTTATGACAAGGGTCTCCTTTCCTCCAGTTTCCAGTAACATGCTGCTCACTCTCTCTGAGACCTCACCAAAAGCCCCTTTAACATTCCTATTTCTATCAGCAATCTCTTCAAGGAAATCTAGGCTTTTTCTATGAAGCACCTAAAACCTTTCCAGCTCTACCCACTGCCCAATTCCAAAGCCATTTCCATGTTGTTTTTTTCAGTATTTGTTACAGCAGCACCCCACTTCCCAAGTACAAAAATCTGTATTACTTTCCTAGGGCTGCTGTAATAAAGTACCATGAGCTGGACAGCTCGAAATAACAGAAATTTCCTGTCTCACAGTTCTGGAAGCCAGAAGCCCAAAATCAAGGTATCAGTAGGACCATGCTCTTTTTGAAGTAGAACCCTCAAAACAGCAAGGAACCATTCCGTATTGCTCTCTGACATCTTGGTAGCCTTGGGCATTTCGTGGCTTACAGATGCATCACACCAGTGACACGGCCATCTTCTTTTCTTTATGTGTCTTCACACAGTCTTTGCTCTGTGTACGTGTGTCTCTGTGTCTAGATTTCCCTCATTTTAAGTACATCAGTCATACCAGATTAGGACTTACCCTAATGACCTCATTTAAGATTGATTACTTCTGTAAAGACCCCAATTCCAAAAAAGGCCGCATTCTGATGTACTTGAAGTTAGGACTTCAACATATTTTATGGAGAGGATACAATTTTATCCATAATATGCTCCTTGTAGATCCTTAGAATGGCTGTGCTTACCCAATGAGAGCAGGTGGCTGTAGTTTTCCAGCATCACATCCTGGTACAGGCGTCTCTGTGTAGAGTCCAACTGCTGCCACTCCTCCCTGCTGAAGTCCACAGTCACATCCTCGAATGACACGGAGCCCTGTAACAACACAATGCTGTTCAGGGTGGCATGGCCCGCAGTGGGTGATAGGAAGAAGATTAGTAAGAAATTATATTATTTTATTTTAAATGTTTTATTAATTTTTGAGACAGAGAGAGGATTAGTGGGGGAGGGGCAGAGAGAGGAGGAGACAGAGAATCCCAAGTGGGCTCCATGCTGTTGGCACAGAGCCCTATGTGAGGTTCAAACTCACAAGCTGTGAAACCATGACCTGATTCAAAATCAAGAGTCAGATGCTTAACCAACTGAGCCACCCAGGCACCCCAAAGAATTATTTTTAATGATTTTTCTCCAGAATATGCTATATGGTATGACTATTAAATACCTCGTTATATATACTGTTGTGTAGAATACAAATATTGTAAATTTTTGCTATTCATTGTGTACAATAGTCATACATTTAAAAAAAATTTAATGTTCATTTAGTTTTGAGAGAGAGAAACAGAGCATGAGCTGGGGAGGGGCAGACAGAGAGGGAAACACAGAATCTGAAGCAGGCTCCAGGCTCCAAGCCGTCAGCACAGAGGCCAATGTGGGCCTCAAACTCATGAACTGTGAGGTCATGAACTGAGCTGAAGTTGGACACTTAACCAACTGAGCCACCCAGGTGCCCCAGTTCAACATCCATTTATGATAAAAATTCTCAACAAAGCAGGTATAGAGCAAAGATATCACAACACAATAAGAACCATATATGACAAGCCCACAGCTAACATCATAACCAACAGTAGGAAACTGAAAGCTTTTCTAGGATCAGAAAGAAGACAAAGATGTCCATTCTTGCCACTTTTATTCAACAGAGTATTGCAAGCCCTAGTCAGAGCAAATAGACAAGAAAAAGAAATAAAAGGCATCCAAATTGAAAAGGAAGAAGGAAAACTGTCACTATTTGCAGAAGGCATCACATTATATATAGAAAACCCTAAAGACTCCACCAAAAACAAACAAAAAACCCCCAAAAAACCAACCTGTAGAACTAAAAACAATAATTCAATAAAGTCACAAGGACACAAAGTCAATACACGAAAACCTATTGTGTTTCTGTACACTAAGAATAAATTACCAGAAAAAGAATTAAGAAAAGAATCCCCCAAATTTATAACTGCATCGAGAAAAACACCTCAGAATAAATTTAACCAAGGTGGTGAAAAACCTATACTTTGAAAATTAAAACATATTGATGAAAGAAACTAAATAAGATATGTAAATAGAAAGATATTCTGTGTTCATGGTTGGAAGAATTAATATTGTTAAAATGTCTGTATTATCAAAAGGAATCTACAGATTCACTGTAATCCCTGTCAAAATTCCAATGGCATTTTTCACAGAAACAGAACAAACCTAAAATGTGTATGGAACCACAAAAGACTCTGAATAGCCAAAGCAATCTTGAGAAAGAAAAAAGCTGGAGGTATCATATCCCAGATTCCAAACCATTTTACAAAGCTCTAGTAATCAAAACATTATGGTATTAGCAGAAAAACTGACATTTAGATCAACAGAAAGGAGAGAGGCCAGAAATAAACCCACCCATATATGATCAATTAATTAACAACAAAAAAGAAAAAAATATATACAATGGGGAAAGGGAGGGGCGTCTGGGTGGCTCAGTCGGTTGAGTGTCTGACTTTGGCTCTGGTCATGATCTCACGGTTCGTGCGTTTGAGCCCCGCGTCGGGCTCTGTGCTGACAGCCAGCTCAGAGCCTGGAGTCTTTCAGATTCTGTATCTCCCTCTCTCTCGGACTCTCCCCTGCTCTCTCTCTCTCTCAGAAATAAATAAAACATTAAAAAAATTACAATGGGGAAAGGGCAACCTCTTCAATAAATGGTGTTGGGAAAACTGGACAGCTACATGCAAAAGAATGAAACTGGACCACCTTCTTACATCATACACAAAAATAAACTCAAATGGATTAAAGATTTAAATGTGAGACCTGAAACCATAAAACTAGAAGAAAACATAGGCAGTAATCTCTTTGATATCTTAGCAACATTTTTGTAGATATGTCTCCTCAGGCAAGGGAAACAAAGGCAAACATAAACTATTAGGACTACACCAAAATAAAAAGCTTTTGCACAGCAAAGAAAACCACCAACAAAACAAAAAGGCAACCTAGTAAATGAGAGACGATATTTGCAAATGATATATCCAATAAGGGGTTAGTATCCAAAATACATAAAAAACTTGTACAACTCAACACCAAAAAAAGAAAAATCCCAAATAATCTGATTTAATAATGGGCAGAAGACCTGAAGAGACATTTTTCAAAAAAAGTCATACAGATGGCCAAAAGACACATGAAAAGATGCTCAACATCACTCATCAGCAGGGAACTGAAACTCAAAACCACAGTAAGATATCACTTTACACCTGTCAGAATGGCTAGAATCAAAAGGAAATAATAAGTGTTGGTGAGGATGTGGAGAAACAGGAATCTTTGTGCATTGTTGGTGGGAATGTAAGTTAGTTGCTACAGCCACTGTGGAAAACAGTGTGGAGGTTCCTCAAAACATTCAAAATAAAATACCATATGATCCAGCAATTCCAGTATTGGGTACTTATCCAAAGAAAATGAAAATACTAATTCGAAAGATATATGCACCTCTACGTTTATTGCAGTATGACATTCACAATAGCCAAATTATGGAAGCAACCCAAGTGTCCATCTATAGATGAATGGATAAAGACAATGGATAAATATATATGATATATATATAATATACACACACGTGTATATATATATGATGAATTATATATGTATATGTGTGTGTATGATGAAATATTACTCAGCCATAAAAAAGAATGAGATCTTGCCATTTGTGACAACATGGATTTACCTAGAGGGTATTATGCTAAGTAAAATTAAGTCAGACAGAGAATACAAATACCATATAATTTCACTTATATGTGGAATCTAAAAAACAAAACAAATGAATAAACAAATGAAAAATCAGACTCTGGGGGTGCCTGGGTGGCTCAGTCAATTAGGTCTGTGAGTTTGAGCCCCGCACTGGGCTCTTGTGCTGACAGCCTGGAGCCTGCTTTGGATTCCGTGTCTCCCTCTCTCTCTGCCCTCCCCTGCTCACTCTGTCTTTGTCTCTCTCAAAAATAAATAAACATTGCAGTGCCTGGTGGCTCAGTCGGTTAAGCATCTGACTTCAGCTCAGGTCACAATTTCATGGCTCATGAGTTCGAGCCCTGCGTCAGGTTCTATGCTGACAGCTCAGAGCCTGGAGCCTGCTTCAAGTTCTGTGTCTCCCTCTCTCTCTGACCCTCCCCCACTCATGCTCTGTCTCTCTCTGTCTCTCAAAAATGAATAAACATTTAAAAATTTTAAACAAACAAACAAACATTTAAAACAAAAGAAAAGCAAAGCAGACTCTTTTTTTTATTTTTTTTTTATTTTTTTTTTTACAAATAGTTTATTGTCAAATTAGTTTCCACATAACACTCAGTGCTCATCCCCAAAGTGCCCTCCTCCATGCGCATCCCCCCCTCCCCCCCACATCCATCAGTCCTCAGTTTTTGTCAGCATTCAAGAGTCTCTCATGGTTTGCCTCTCTCCCTTTCCCCCACCATTTCCGCCCTTCTTCTCCCCCTTGTTCCTCCGTCAAGTTCCTCCTAATCCTCCTATACGTGCAAACATATGATATTTGTCCTTCTCTGCCTGACTTATTTCGCTCAGCATAACACCCTCAAGGTCCATCCATGTTGCTACACATGGCCAGATTTCATTGTTTCTCATTGCCATGTAGTATTCCATGGTATAGATAAACCACATCTTCTTGATCCAATCATCTGTTGATGGACACTTAGGCTCTTTCCATGTTTTAGCTATTGTGGAGAGTGCTGCTATGAACATTGGGGTCCATGTGCTCCTATGCCTCAGCATTTCTGTATCCCTTGGGTAAATTCCTAGCAGTGCTATTGCTGGGTCATAAGGGAGTTCTATTGTTAGTTTCCTGAGGAACCTCCACACTGTTTTCCAGAGGGGCTGTACCAGTTTACATTCCCACCAGCAGTGTAGGAGGGTGCCCGTTTCTCCACATCCTCGCCAGCATCTAGAGTTCTCTGATTGGCTCATTTGAGCCACTCTGACTGGCGTGAGGTGGTATCTCAGTGTGGTTTTGATTTGTATTTCCCTGATGAGGAGGGATGCTGAGCATCGTTTCATGTGTCTGTTGGCCATCTGGATGTCCTCTTTGGAGAAGTGTCTGTTCATGTCTTCTGCCCATTTCTTCACTGGGTTGTTTGTTTTTCGGGCGTGGAGTTTGGGGAGTTCCTTATAGATTCTGGATATTAACCCTTTATCTGATATGTCATTTGCAACTATCTTTTCCCATTCCATTGGTTGCCTATTAATTTTCTGGGTTGTTTCCTTGGCTGTGCAGAAGCTTTTAATCTTGATGAGGTCCCAACAGTTTATTTTTGCTCTTGATTCCCTTGCTTTTGGGGATGTGTCAAGTAAGAAGTTCAAAGCAGACTCTTAAATACAGAGAAGAAACTGGTGGTTGCCAGAGGGAAGGTGGGAGGGAGGATTGGTGAAATAGATAAAGGGGATTAAAAGATACAGTTATAAAATAAAATAGATATGTCATGAGATGAAAAGTACAGCAGAGAAAATATAGTCAATGATACTATAATAACATATGGTGACTACATTTATTGTTTTGAGCACTAATATAAAATTGAATCAAGAATAGATTGCACACCTGAAACCATTATGACATTTCATGTTAGTTAAATTTTAATTTAAAAAAGGAAAAAAAACTCTCCAAAGCTAAAAATGCTCTAGAAGAAAACATAAGAGTATCTTTGCTCTAAGTTCCTCCTAATCCTCCTATACGTGCAAATATATGGTATCTGTCCTTCTCTGCCTGACTTATTTCGCTCAGCATAACACCCTCAAGTTCCATCCATGTTGCTACACATGGCCAGATTTCATTCTTTCTCATTGCCATGTAGGATTCCATTGTA